AAAACACAATAAATACAAATTGTCATGAATTAACAACCATTAACTGTTCATAACTCACCTGAGTAAACAACCATTAACTGTTCATAACTCACGAGTAAACAACCATTAACTGTTCGTAACTCACCTGAGTAAACAACCATTAACTGTTCGTAACTCCCTGAGTAAACAACCATTAACTGTTCGTAACTCACTTGGTAAACAACCATTAACTGTTCATAACTCACGAGTAAACAACCATTAACTGTTCATAACTCACGAGTAAACAACCATTAACTGTTCGTAACTCACTTGAGTAAACAACCATTAACTGTTCATAACTCACATGCGTAAACAACCATTAACTGTTAAACAACTCCGAGTAAACAACCATTAACTGTTCGTAACTCACTTGAGTAAACAACCATAACTGTTCGTAACTCACTTGAGTAACAACCATTAACTGTTCGTAACTCACTTGAGTAAACAACCATTAACTGTTCGTAACTCACTTAGTAAACAACCATTAACTGTTCATAACTCACCTGATAAACAACCATTTGTTCGTAACTCATTGAGTAAACAACCATTAACTGTTCGTAACTCAGTTAAACAACCATTAACTGTTCATAACTCACCTGAGTAAACAACCATTAACTGTTCATAACTCACCTGAGTAAACAACCATTAACTGTTCATCATTCACCTGAGTAAACAACCATTAACTGTTCGTAACTCACTTGAGTAAACAACCATTAACTGTTCATAACTCACCTGCATCACCATTAACTGTTTCAAACTCACCTGAGTAAACAACCATTAACTGTTCGTAACTCACTTGAGTAAACAACCATTAACTGTTCATAACTCACCTGGTATACAACCATTAACTGTTCGTAACTCACTTGAGTAAACAACCATTAACTGGTAAGTAACTCCTTGAGTAAACAACCATTAACTGTTCGTAACCACCGAGTAAACAACCATTAACTGTTCGTAACTAACGAGTAAACAACCATTAACTGTTCGTAACTCACCTGAGTATACAACCATTAACTGTTCCTACTCACCTGCGTAAACAAATAACTGTTCGCCCAACTCGGTAAACAACCATTAACTGTTCATAACTCACCTGAGTAACAACCATTAACTGTTCGTAACTCACTTGAGTAAACAACCATTAACTGTTCGTAACTCATGAGTAACAACCATTAACTCTTCATAACTCACCTGAGTAAACAACCATTAACTGTTCATAACTCACCTGAGTAAACAACCATTAACTGTTCATAACCACCGAGTAAACAACCATTAACTGTTCATAACTCACCTGAGTAAACAACCATTAACTGTTCATAACTCACCTGAGTAAACAACCAAACTGTTCATAACTCACCTGAGTAAACAACCATTAACTGTTCGTAACTCACTTGAGTAAACAACCATTAACTGTTCATAACTCACCTGAGTAAACAACCATTAACTGCTCGTAACTCACTTGAGTAAACAACCATTAACTGTTCATAACTCACCTGAGTAAACAACCATTAACTGTTCATAACTCCTTGAGTAAACAACCATTAACTGTTCATAACTCACTTGAGTAAACAACCATTAACTGTTCGTAACTCACTTGAGTAAACAACCAACTGTTCATAACTCACCTGATAAACAACCAACTGTTCATAACTCACCTGAGTAAACAACCATAACGTTCGTAATCACTTGAGTAAACAACCATTAACTGTTCATAACTCACTTGAGTAAACAACCATTAACTGTTCGTAACTCACCTGAGTAAACAACCATTAACTGTTCATAACTCACCTGAGTAAACATACGTTAATCTAGGCAGTGAAGATATCAATGACCTGAATATACAGGGTGTTCATAACATTACCCTAAAAACAGTATGCTCTCATCATAGGATGGACACCCTGTATTTTAACAATCTTTCATTAAACGTTAAAAGCGAGTCTGGAGGCGTGTGACCGACAGATCGTCCTCTCCCCAAACTGAAAACTTAATATAAACAGTAATTGTCAATCTTTGTGTTCAAAGTATTTCGCAGTTTTTGTTTTGTCTTTAATCGGCTCAATTCTCTTACCGTGACGTACAGGTTGCTGTATTTGAATGACCAAAGATTGACACAGATCTCCTGAACCCTGGCACTGTGGGCGGCGTTACAGGCCTGGCGGTGCCAGGCCTGGCGTAGGCGACGTTACGGGCCTGGCACTGTCGCCGGTTACAGGCCTTAGGCAGCGTTATAGGCCTGCACTGTGGGCGCGTTGCAGCCCGGCAAAAACCTGGAACTGTGGCCAGCGTTATGGCCTGGCACTGTGGCCGGCGTTACGGGCCCAGCACTGTCGCCGGTGTTACGGCTGCAATGTGCAGCGTTATAGGCCTGGTGTGGCAGCGTTATGGGTCTGGCATTAGCTGGAACTGTGGCCAGCGCGGGGCCTGGCACCGTGGGCGGCGTTACGGACTTGGCACTAGGCCGGCGTTACGGCCTGTGTAGGCGGCGTTACAGGCCTGGCATTATGGATGGCGTGGTGTGGCTCGTGCGGCGTTGCAGCGCACTGTGGCCGGCGTTACAGGCCTGGCACTGTGGGCGACGTTACGGGCCTGGCACTGTGGCCGGGGGCCTGGCACTGTGGTTGGCGTATTGGCCCGGCACCGTGGCCGGCGTTACGAGCCTGGCACTATGGCCGATATACCGGCCCTCAGTATGGAGGGCGTTACGGGTGTGGCACTGTGTGCGTGTTACGGGCCTGGCACTGTGGGCGGCGTTACGGGCCTAGCACTGTGGCCCGGCGTTACAGGCCTAGTGTGGGTGGCGTTACGGCTGGCACTGTGACCGCGTTACCTGGCACTGTGGCGGCGTTTCGGTCGCACTGGCCGGCGTTACAGGCCTGGCACTATGGCCGGCGTTACAGTTGGCACTATGGCCGGCGTTACAGGCCTGGCACTGTGGATGTGTTACGGGTGTGGCACTGTGTGCGGCGTTGGAGCCTGGCACTATGACCGGCGTTACAGCCCGGCACTGTGGGCGGCGTTACGGGCCCAGCATGTGGTCGGCGTTACAGGCTGAGCACTGTCGGCGGCGTTACGGCCGGCACTGTGACCGGCGTTACGGGTCTGGCATTGTGTGCGGCGTTACGGCCTGGACTGTGGGGGCATTACGGCCTGGCACTGTGGGCGGCGTTAGGCCTGGCACTATGACGTTACGGGTGTGGCACGGTGCGTTACGCCCGGCACTGGCCGGCGTTGACGGAAAAGGCACTGTGGGCGGCATTACGGGCTCAGCACTGTGGCCGGCGTTACAGGCTAGAACTGTCGCCGGTGTTACAGGCCCAGCACGGAGCATACAGGCCTGCACTGTGGGGCAGCGTTATGGGCCTGGCACTGTGGCCGGCGTTACGGGTCTGGCACAGTGGCCGGCGTTAAAGGCCTTGCACTGTGGGCGTTACGGGCCTGGCACTATGCTCCCGCGTTACGGCCTAGCACTGTGGGTGGCGCGGGACCCGGCACTGTGGCCAGCGTTACGAGCCTGGCACTATGGCCGACGTTACCGGCCCTTTCATTATGGAGGGCGTTACGGGTGTGTCACTGTGTGCTCTGTTACGGGCCTGGCACTGTGGGCCGCGTTACGGGCCTCAGCACTGTGGCCGGCGTTACAGGCCTGGCTCTGTGGGCGGAGTTACAGGCCTGCACCGTGGGTGGCGCTACGGGCCTGGCACTGTGCTGGCGTTACGGCCTGGTACTGTGCCTGCGTTACAGGCCTGGCACTATAGCCGGCGTTACGGTCTCACTATGCGGCCGGCGTTACAGGCCTGGCACTATGGATGGCGTTACGAGTCTCAGCACTGTGGGCGGCGTTACAGGCCTGGCACTTGGATGGCGTTACGGGTGTGGCACTGTGTACGGCATTACGAGCATGGCACTGTGGCCGGCGTTACGGGTCTGGCACTGGCCGGCGTTACAGGCCTGGCACTATGGATGGCGTTACGGGTGTGGCACTGTGTACGGCATTACGAGCATGGCACTGTGGCCGGCGTTACAGGCCTGGCACTGTGGGCGGCGTTACGGGCCTACTGTGGCCGGCGTTACAGGCCCGGCACTGTGGGCGGCGTTACGGGCCTGGCCCTATGACCGGCGTTATGGGTCTGGCACTGTGGGCGGCGTGGCCTGGCACCATGGGTGGTGTTACGGTCCTAGCACTATGACCGGCGTTGCGGGTCTGGCACTGTGTGCGGCGTTACGGCCTGGCACGGACGGCGTTATAGGCCTGGCACTGTGGGCGGCGTTACGTGCCTGGCGCTGTGGCTGGCGCGTTGCGGCCCGGCACTATGGATGGCGTTACGGGTGTGGCTCTGTGTGCGGCGTTACGCCTGGCACTGGGCCGGTGTTAAAGCCCTGGCACTGTGGGCGGCGTTACGTGCCTGGCGCTGTGGCCGGCGTTACGGCCTGGCACTGGGTGGCACTGTGGCCAGCGTTACAGGCCTCGGCACTGTGGCGACGTTACGGGCCTGTCACTGTGGCCGGCGTTACGGGCCTGGCACTCTGGGCGACGTTACGGGCTGGCAATGGGCGGCGTTACAGGCCTGGCACTATGGATGGTGTTACGGTGTGGCACTGTGTGCGGCGTTACGAGCCTGGCACTATGACCGGCGTTGCAGGTCTGGCACTGTGGGCGGCGTTGCGGGCGTGGCACTGTGGGCGGCGTTACAGGCCCGAACTATGGATGGTGTTACGGGTGTGGCACTGGGGGGCGTTGCGGCGTGGCACCGTGGGCGGCGTTGCGGGCGTGGCACTGTGGGCGGCGTTACAGGTCTGGCACTTGCGACCGGCGTTACAGGCCCGGCACTGTGGGCGGCGTTGCGAGCCTAGCAATGTGAGGCGAGGTTAAGGCAGGATGGCACTGTGGTCGACGTTACAGGCCGGCACTGTGCGGGCCTGGCACTGTGCGGCGTTACGGGCCTGTCACTGTGGGCGGCGTTACAGGCCCGGCACTGTGGGCGGGGTTACAGGCCCGGCACTGTGGCCGGCGTTACAGGCCTGGCACTGTGGGCGGCGTTACGGCCTGGCACTGTGGCCGGCGTTACTGTTCTGGCACTGTAGGCGGCGTTACGGGCCTGGCACTGTGGCCGGCGTTACGGGCGTTACTTGTTCTGGCACTTAGGGGCGTTACGGGCCTCACTGTGGCCGGCGTTACTGAGCGGCACTGTGGGCGGGGTTACAGGCCTGGCACTGTAGCGGCGTTACAGGCCTCGGCACTGTGTTACGGCCTGGCACTGTGGCCGGGTTACAGGCCTGGCACTGTGGCCGGCGTTACAGGCCTGGCACTGGCCTGGCACTGGCGGCGTTACAGGCCTGGCACTGTGGCCGCGTTACGGGCCTGGCACTGTGGGCGCGTTACATCTCTGGCACTGTGGGGGGTTACAGGCCTGGCACTGTGGCCGGCGCTTGGCACAGGCCTGTGCACTGTGGCCAGCGTTACGGGCCTGGCACTGTGGGCCGTGTTACAGGCCTGGCACCGTGGGTCGGGGTTACAGGCCTGGCACTGTGGGCGGCGTTACGGGCCTGGCACTGTGGCCAGGCGTTACCGTTGTGGCACTGTAGGCGGCGTTACGGGCCTGGCACTGTGGCCGGCGTTACAGGTACTGCACTGTGTGGCGGGCGTTACGGGTTATACACACACCTGGGCCTGGCGTTATGTTTACCCACACATCCCCTCGACTTGACTCACACACTGACAGGTCGACAAACCCGCTTATTAAAGTAACATTCAGAGGACTAGGGAAACACGTCTATAAACCACATGTTTTTAAAATTGTGTATCAAAACTTTAACATTTACACGAACTAAAATATTGTATTACAGAGACTGTCAAAAACCTCTCGTTGTCACCTAATGTTTTACCCATTACTGTGTAGTGAAGATGAGACGGTGAGGAGGACCAGATGACCTCAACACACACACACACACACACACACACACACATGCACACATACACAACCCTCAGTAACACCTACAACCCCACACAGGTAATCGGAGAGGATAAGGTAAATGGAAACAATTAACAGAGAAAAAAAAAAATATATATATAGTATATATATATATATATATATATATATATTTATATATATATATATATATATATATATATATATATATATATATATATATATATAGTATATATATATATATATATATATATATATATATATATATATAACCGGTCGGAATTTGCTGGACTTTAATTTCTCACTTGACTGGGGGTTTATTAAAATTTAATAGATGGTAAAGGCAGTGGAAGCGCCCCTTTGAGAAAAATCCCGAACCAGCACAAGAACACTTAAATCTACTACACAAAATGAACTGTCCGTGACCCGTGGAAGGATAGCGTCTGTGACTGGGATGAATGAGACACACTGTAAAATTTAGACACTTATATTCCCTCCAACACTACAAACACAATCAAATAATGGTACACCAATATGCGCACCTCTTAACTTAAACTTAAACACTACTCTGGGGAATAAAAGTTATACATGACATAGAAATTATTAGAAACACAGGCAACAATAAATTTGAAGTATTAAGAAATGTTGTTTGCACACATGAACAGGCCTAAAGGGCTTTCACAAAATAATATCAGTCACTTAGGAAATGGTACTAAAAAATAAGAAATTAAATACTCCACAATGAATAGGCCTTAAGGGTCTTCAACAAAATAATATCAGTCACTGAGGAATGGTAATAAAAGATAAGAAATTAAATACTCTACAATGAATAGGCCTTAAGGGCTTTCAGCAAAATAATATCACTCAACAAAAGTATAGCACCCCAACAGGTGTACACTTCCTAACCTAACCTAACCACTGCCCTGGGGAACAAGGTTATACCTGAGATCAGAATTATGAAGAATTAGAGGCATTAAAAGAATCAAATCACAGTATCACTCTGGTTCCACTTAATGGCACAAACATTCAAAAAACACTACTATCAAAATTATTTAAGAAATATTAAACTACACACGTCAAGATAATATCAGTCTGAGGAATGGTGTTAACTACACCCGTGATAAGGAAGATAAAATGTTCCTCTAGGTATCTCCTAGAGTCCTAGACTCACAGTCTCAGTGTGTGACCATTAATATACTCAGATAGCCTCAGTGTACTCCCAGTGCGTCCATGGGCAGGAAGAGAGTGAGCCAATCAGACCTTGTGCAGTTGAGAGAAACTTTAGCTTCCCGTTAGCAAGAGGGTTTCACTAGCTGCTCGGGACATGTGGGGTTGTGCACCGGAGTGGTAAGAACTGATCACCCACTGCTGATGCTGGTCCCGTGTCGTGTTAGTTGTCGGGAGCACTCGTTCACTCAAGAGATCCTTTGCTACCCCGCTAAACGGTGACAGGCCTACACTGATCGGTCCAATGGCGACAATCGCCACCCTCAATCATCAACGGCAGTCAATCTCTCGCAGTCAACTCCGGTCAACTCCAGTCAAGTGGGTTCTGACGGAAACCCTGAAATGAACTCACTGTTAGCTCTAGTTTACTTTATCACTGCCCTATCTAACCCTGTCTGAGATCGAATGAGACTTACTTGTTATACTGCAATAGCGCAGCACAGGTGACTAGGCCACGTGACTATTTCTGATGGACGCGCGGAACGTCTTGTCTGTGTGAATGCTCTCCGGGACTGGGCCTAGCCAGCGTCACGTCTCCTCAAGGCGTTACCTTAGGTCTACGTGATATCTTTACCGCCTAACTAATAACTCCTTGGGACACCCGTAACATTATTCAGACTGCTAAACGATCTATAATAATTTCAAATTCAATAATAGTCCCTTAACTGCATGAATCGCATCATTATTAATTCGGTAAATTACATTTAATATCATATAGGCCTAGTTCCGCAGTCTCTCGCTACGAGCAGGCAGCGCTCCCTCCCCTCAGATGACCTTGAACGCTCAGTATCACTCATGGCGGGGCATTTGAAATTACTCTGAAATTTCTGGATATCACATATATATATATTGTTATTCCCTTTTAATTTACTTCGCTTTACTTTTTGTTTGGTTACGCCTAGAACCTTGGATATTAAAGTAAATTAAGAGACGGCGTAACAATATTATATATATATATATATATATATATATATATATATATATATATATATATATATATATATATATATATATATATATATATATATATATATATATATATATATATTATCCAGGTGGTACAACGAATAGAGGAACAGGAGAAAATCGGAATAGAGCAATGAGATGAAGACGGGAGAACGGCTGGAGGAAGATGGGAAAACATAAGTGTCACAAGAGAAATATGGTGAGAAAACTAAGAAAACAAAATGGACATGAAATTTGGGGATGAAAGAAAAGAACAACCAGAATGACAGATGAAGTAGAAGGAAAGGTGGTGAGGAAGGTGAGATTGGATGGCTGAGGTGAGGTGAGGGAACGAATAGTAAGGTGAGGTGAGGAGACGTGAGGTGAAGGAAAGAATGGGAAGGTGAGGCGAGAGAGGGAATGCTAGGGGTAGGTAAGGGAGAGAACAGTAAGATAAGGTGAAGGAGAGAATCGTGAGGTTAGGTGAGGAGAAGTAGTGAAGTGAGGGGAAAATGCAGTCAGGTAAGATGAGGTTAGGTGCGTGCAGGAAGGAGGGGGACCGTGGAAGGTTGAGGGAGGGAGGGAAGGAACCAAGACGCTGTCCACAATGGAAGTTTACAGTGAGTGTTTTTCCACTTTAAGAAGAACTGTTTGAAGAATGTGTTCCTCCGCGGCGCAGCACCTGGCCAGAAAAATGGTAGCAAGCAGTTACCAAGGAGATTTGCATGTTAGGTGGGCGTGCGGAATATAAATGATGCGGAAGAGAAGAAGGAGAATAAAAAATGAGAATTACTACTTCAAGATAAACTATGAAGACCAACACCACCATCTTGAGACAACTAGTGGAGGTAAAGGTTTGTTACAGGTGCTGAGAATGTTGCTAAGGCTGTCTGGGGGTATAAGAGAGAGGGAAAATTTGTTTGGTTTTGTAGGGGAAAAAATCTTTAGTTAGGGGAGATGTTAACTTTCTGAGCATTCTGTCTATTAGGGTAGAATAACTCAATAAAGTAAACCAATAACTGTAATGTAGGGAAGATGATGATGATGATGATAAGGAAACAAAAAAAATACATAAATAAAAACCTGTTATTAAAAAAAGAAAATGGTAACAGGTAAGAGATGTTAATATAACACTTATTAACTTTCAAACACAGGTGTGGTAATGACCTGGGTAAGACGCAGGTAAAGTATGATGATGATGATGATGATGATGATGATGATAAGAGTACACTAGACACACAAACATTCAACTGCTGACATATTTTCACCCTGACACCAACCATGAGTTAATAAATTCTACAAAAATACAAACATTCCTTACCATCAGTCCTTGTATCTCTGGCTTGGTGTCCCTGTTAGCAAGATTGACACGTCTGCCAATACGGATAACGCGTCAAAAATAAAGGTTGAAAGACAAAATTGTGAGAAACTGTTTTCAGCGAAGGTGTAGGATGCTAAAACACCCAAAACAATGAACTCACAAATATTGTTTAAGAGAATCAGTTTCCCCCGAAGTATTGTCATAAAAATCTACACACGTGTCTGATGAAATAATAATCATAATAAAGTATTTAATTGATCAAGTTAAAAGGAAAAGTTTATACGTCCCAACATAGCGAAGTTTTTATTGTGCAAATTGTCTGATACATTTTGTCTTCTAAATTGTCAAAAGAAAACGAAGTCCTGTCACGGGAGGATTTCACTTGAGAGGATGATGAAGACTTTGAATGTGTGTGTGTGTGTGTGTGTGTGTAAAGGCGGGGCTGACGCGGATGGAGGATAGGATAGAGAAAATTTGGCATGATTGGATAGAAGGAGGAAGGATCGAAGAAGAGGATGGTCAGGTCCCTCATGTATCAGGATGTAGGACAAGACTAAGTTGATAATGATACACTAAATATCATTAAAAAACTAAGAGGATATTATAAAAAAAATACAATAACGACTCCTGTAATATTATTGATTTTTTGTATTTCTCTCGTTCTTGTCATTTCTGTAGTGTGAAGTTTTATAGACAGATTTTGTACCTGATCATAAAATAAATTGTAATCGAAATTCACAAACTTAAACTCCTTTTTTCCTCTCAGCTGGGGTGTGTCCGGGGCAGAACTATGATTTGACTATGTGTAATTATCGGCTACCTGTTGTCACCTGTAGTCACGCGTCTTGAACACCTGTGCTAATTAGAAAAGACTTTATTTTATATCTGTACTTGAGGGTATATTATTTTATTTCATCTTGGTTTAATCTTCCTCTCCGTGTTTGTTTAATCTCTGAACCATTTAATTAGCGGTATTTCTTCTAATTCTTACCAGGATTTTCTTCTTTATTCTCCTCTTTCGTCTTTCTCTTCGTCTTTCTCCTATTACCTCACTTTACCTCCCTCCCTCCTCCTTCACTCCCTCAGTCTGGTGGCTCTACACTACCTCATTCGTGGAGGCTTGGAACATAACCTTTAATATAGTCTGTCTGTCTGTCTGTGTCTGTACGTGCGTGTGTCGTGGAATAATACACACACACACAGACACACACACACACACACACACACACACACACACACACACACACACACACACACATGCTGCTCACACGCTCACCAGACACTCACTCTCACAGCTGTTAAGAAATTCAACCTCGGAAAAAAAAGGACATTTAAAAATAAAGTTTAATTATAGAATAGAAGAACTGAACTGGCGGTAATCTTCAAGGCAACACCGAGTCAAAGGCACTTCAGATCTTGTAGTCTTTTTACCTGTAATCTTTACTGTGTTTATGAGACGGGAGTCGAGCTGTGTTTCCAGGTATTACAATCTAGAGCCTGGGAAAGACGGTACCAGTGTCGTAACAATATATACCGCAACAATAGCTATGAACTAGGAGCTGCAGTAACAATAGCTGCTGTACTAGGAGCCTCAGTAACAATAGTTGCTGTATAGGAGCTGCAGTAACAATAGCTGCTGTACTAGGAGCTTCAGTAACAATAGTTACTGTACTAGGAGCTGCAGTAACAATAGCTGCTGTACTAGGAGCTGCAGTAACAATAGTTACTGTACTAGGAGCTGCAGTAACAATAGTTGCTGTACTAGGAGCCTCAGTAACAATAGTTGCTGTACTAGGAGCTGCAGTAACAATAGCTGCTGTACTAGGAGCTTCAGTAACAATAGTTGCTGTACTAGGAGCTGCAGTAACAATAGCTGCTGTACTAGGGCTCAGTAACAATGGTTGCTGTGCTAGGAACCTCAGTAACAATAGTTGCTGTACTAGGCTGCAGTAACAATAGCTGCTGTACTAAGACCTCAGTAACAATAGTTGCTGTACTATGACCTCAGTAACAATAGTTGCTGTACTAGGACTGCAGTAACAATAGCTGCTGTACTAGGAGCTTCAGTAACAATAGTTGCTGTACTAGGCGCTGCAGTAACAATAGCTGCTGTACTAGGAGCTGCAGTAACAATAGTTGCTGTACTAGGAGCCTCAGTAACAATAGTTGCTGTACTAGGAGCTGCAGTAACAATGGCTACTGTACTAGGAGCTGCAGTAACAATAGCTTCTGTGCTAGGAGCTGCAGTAACAATAGCTTCTGTGCTAGGAGCTGCAGTAACAATGGCTACTGTACTAGGAGCTGCAGTAACAATAGCTGCTGTACTAGGAGCTGCAGTAACAATAGCTTCTGTGCTAGGAGCTGCAGTAACAATGGCTACTGTACTAGGAGCTGCAGTAACAATAGCTGCTGTACTAGGAGCTGCAGTAACAATGGCTACTGTACTAGGAGCTGCAGTAACAATAGCTGCTGTACTAGGGCTGCAGTAACAATAGCTGCTGTACTAGGGCTGCAGTAACAATAGCTCTGTACTAGGGCTGCATAACAGCTGGCTACTGTACTAGGAGCTGCAGTAACAATAGCTGCTGTGCTAGGGCTGCAGTAACAATAGCTGCTGTACTAGGAGCTGCAGTAACAATGGCTACTGTACTAGGAGCTGCAGTAACAATAGCTGCTGTACTAGGAGCTGCAGTAACAATAGCTGCTGTACTAGGAGCTGCAGTAACAATAGCTGCTGTACTAGGAGCTGCAGTAACAATAGCTGCTGTACTAGTAGCTGCAGTAACAATAGCTACTGTACTAGGAGCTGCAGTAACAATAGCTACTGTACTAGTAGCTGCAGTAACAATAGCTGCTGTACTAGGAGCTGCAGTAGGAATAGCTGCTGTACTTGGGCTGCAGTAACAATAGCTATTGTATTAAGAGTGCAGTAACAATAGCTGCTGTACTAGGAGCTGCAGTTACAATAGCTATTGTATTAGAGCTGCAGTAACAATAGCTGCTGTACTAGGAGTTAAAAACAATAGCTGCTGTACTAGGAGCTGCAGTAACAATAGCTGCTGTACTAGAGCTGCAGTAACAATAGCTGCTGTATTAAGAGATGCAGTCAACAGCTGCTGTACTAGGAGTTACAAAAATAGCTGCTGTACTAGGAGCTGCACTAACAATAGCTGCTGTATTAAGAGCTGCAGTAACAACAGCTGCTGTACAGGAGCTGCACTAACAATAGCTGCCAGGAGCTGCATTAACAATAGCTGCTGTACTAGGAGTTACAAAACAATAGCTGCTGTACTAGGGCTGCACTAACAATAGCTGCTGTACTAGAGCTGCATTAACAATAGCTGCTGTACTAGGAGTTACAAAACAATAGCTGCTGTACTAGGAGCTGCACTAACAATAGCTGCTGTATTAAGAGCTGCAGTAAAAACAGCTGCTGTACTAGAGCTGCATAACAATAGCTATTGTATTAAGAGCTGCAGTAACAACAGCTCCTGTACTGAGGCTGCAGTAACAACAGCTACTGTACTAGGAGCTGCAGTAACAATAGCTGCTGTACTAGGGCTGCAGTAACAATAGCTGCTGTACTGAGGCTGCAGTAACAATAGCTACTATATTAAGAGCTGCAGTAACAATAGCTATTGTATTAAGGCTGCAGTAACAACAGCTACTGTACTAGGGCTGCAGTAACAACTACTGTCCTAGGGCTGCAGTAACAATAGCTGCTGTACTAGGGAGCTGCAGTAACAACAACTGCTGTACTAGGAGCTGCAGTAACAATAGTTGCTGTACTAGGGCTGCAGTAACAACAGCTGCTGTACTGGGGCTGCAGTAGCAATAGCTGCTGTACTAGGGCTGCAGTAGCAATAGCTGCTGTACGGTGCTGCAGTAACAATAGCTTACCAGGGCTGCAGTAGCAATAGCTGCTGTGCTTGGTGCCACGTAACAATAGCTGCTGTACTAAGAGCTGCAGTAGCAATAGCTGCTGTGCCCGGTGCTGCAGTAACAATAGCTGCTGTACTAGGGCTGCACTAACAATAGCTATTGTATTAAGGCTGCAGTAACAACAGCTGCTGTACTAGGAGCTGCAGTTACAATAGCTATTGTATTAAACTGCAGTAACAATAGCTGCTGTGTACTAGGAGCTGCACTAACAATAGCTATTGATTAAGAACTCAGATAACAACAGCTACTGTACAGAGCTGCAGTAACAATAGCTGCAGTACTAGAGCTGCAGTAACAATAGCTGCTGTACTAGGAGCTGCAGTAGGAATAACAGTTGCACTTGGTGCCAGTAACAATAGCTGCTTCGTACTAGGAGCTGCAGTAGCAATAGCTGCTGTGCTTGGTGCTGCAGTAACAATAGCTGCTGTACTAGAGCTGCAGTAGCAATAGCTGCTACTTGGTGCTGCAGTAACAATAGCTGCTGTACTAGGACTGCAGTAGCAATAGCTGCTACTTGGTGCTGCAGTAACAATAGCTGCTGATCTGGTAACAGAACGCTGACGTTATCTTGAAACTTTACCTAGCATTAGTAGGCCACACATGGATTATGCGGTTCAATTCTGGTGTCCTTTATAGAATGGACATAGATTCTTTGGAGAGAGTACAAAGAAGAATGACAAACATGATCCATAATATTAGAAACCTTCCATATGAAGAAAGACTGAAAAGCTTGGGCTTACATTCATTAGAGAGGCGTAGAGTTAGGGGAGATATGATAGAGGTGTACAAGTGGGTAAGTGGGATTAACAACAAGGGTAAAATGGAAGATGTTCTGAAGCTCAGTAATAACGAAATAACTAGAACAAATGGCTCAAATTAGATAAATTCGGTTTCAGAAAGGATATAGGCAAGCACTGGTTTGGTAATAGAGTTGTGGATATGTGGAATAGGCTACCAGAGTGCTATAGTAGGATCGGGGACGCTAGGGAGCTTCAAGACGAAGTTGGATAGGCACATGGAAGTGCTGGGATGGGTGTGAAAGGGATCTGCCTGTATGGGCCAGTCGGCCTCCTGCAGTATCCACTTTCTTATGTTCTTATGTATGTACTAGGAGCTGCAGTAACAATGGCTACTGTACTAGGGTTGCAGTAACAATAGCTGTTGTACTAGGTGCTGCAGTAACAATAGCTGCTGTACGAGGGCTGCAGTACAGTAGCTACTGTACTAGGGCTGCAGTAACAATAGCTACTGTACTAGGAGCTGCAGTAACAATAGCTGCTGTACTGAGCTGCAGTAACAATAGCTACTGTACTAGGGCTGCAGTAACAATGGCTACTGTACTAGGAGCTGCAGTAACAATAGCTGTTGTACTAGGGCTGCAGTAACAATAGCTGCTGTACTGAGCTGCAGTAAAAAATGGCTACTGTACTAGAGCTGCAGTAACAATGGCTACTGTACTAGGAGCTGCAGTAACAATGGTTACTGTACTGGGCTGCAGTAACAATAGCTGTTGTACTAGGGCTGCAGTAACAATAGCTGCTGCTAGGAGTTACGGTAACAAGAGCTGCACTAGGAGCTGCAGTAACAATAGCTGCTGTACTGGGGCTGCAGTAACAATAGCTGCTGTACTAGGGCTGTAGTAACAATAGCTGCTGTACTAGGAGCTGCAGTAACAATAGCTGCTGTACTAGGAGTTGTAACAATAGCTGCTGTACTAGGAGTTACGGTAACAATAGCTGCTGTACTAGGAGCTGCAGTAACAATAGCTGCTGTACTAGGGCTGTGTACTAATAGCTGCTGTACTAGGGTTACAGAAACAATAGCACTAGGAGCTGCATTAACAATAGCTGCTGTACTGGGTTTACAGAAAACAATAGCAACTCTACTAGGGCTGCAGTAACAATAACTACTGTGCTAGACTACGCAGTAACAATAGCTACTGTACTAAGGGCTGCGGTAACAATGGCTGCTGTGCTGAGATAAAATGGCTACTGTACTAGGGCTGCAGTAACAACATTAAAGACTTAGTAATACTGTACTATGGCTGCAGTAACAATAGCTGCTGTACTAGTGGCTGCAGTAACAATAGCTACTGTACTAGTAGCCTGCAGTAACAATAAGCTGCACTAGTAGCTCTGCAGTAAAAGCTGCTATGCTAGTGGCTGCGGTAACAATAGCTACTACTTAGTAGCCTGCAGTAACAATAGCTACTGTACTAGTAGCTGCAGTAACAATAGCTACTGTACTAGTAGCTGCAGTAACAATAGCTACTGTACTAGTGGCCAGTAACAATAGCTGCTGTGTAGGGCTGCGGTAACAATAGCTACTGTCTAGTGGCTGCAGTAACAATAGCTACTGTACTAGTAGCTGCAGTAACAATAGCTACTGTACTAGTAGCTGCAGTAACAATAGCTGCTGTACTAGAGCTGCAGTAACAATAGCTACTGTACTAGTAGCTGCAGTAACAATAGCTGCTGTACTAGTAGCTGCAGTAACAATAGCTGCTGTACTAGGAGCTGCAGTAACAATAGCTACTGTACTAGTAGCTGCAGTAACAATAGCTGCTGTACTAGTGCAGCATAACATGTACTAGGGCTGCAGTAACAATAGCTAGTTCATTTATCCCAAGAGTTAATTCTTTGTGTTGTATCAGTGTTTATGTCTCCTTGTCTTAGTAATATCATCTTTATCAGTGTGACAGAAGTACCTGTGTCTCTCAAAACTATCCTCCACTTCACCATAGTCACTCGTACCTGCTGGCAAGTGACCTCCCAGGTAAAAAAATTATGATCACATTGACTTAAACACCAAATATTTACGTTAATAGAAAAGTATTTGATTTAGGATAGGTTAGGTTAGGTTAGGTTTGGTTTGGTTTGGTTTGGTTAGGTTTGGTTTTGGTTTGGTTTGGTTTGGTTTGGTTTGGTTTGGTTTGGTTTGGTTTGGTTTGGTTTGGTTTGGTTTGGTTTGGTTTTGGTTTGGTTTGGTTTGGTTTGGTTTGGTTTGGTTTGGTTTGGTTTGGCTTGGCTTGGCCAGCTTGGCCCAACGGCTTGGCGGCAGCAGCTTGGCAACAGCAGCTTGGCTTAAGCAGCAGCTTGGCCAGCTTGGCTTGGCTTCAACAGCAACAGCAACAACAGCAACCCAGCAACAGCAACAGCAGCAACAACAGCAACAGCAGCAACAGCTTAGCTTAACAGCAGCAGCAGCAGCAGCAACCCAGCAACAACAGCAGCAACAGCAACAGCAGCAACAGCTTCAGCAGCAACAGCAACGTGTTCTGATGCATTAAACTTACAATATACTTTTCCTAGCTTTATAAGCATCAAGGCTTATAAAAAATGTTGCTCAGTTAGCCGTCCAGGTGTGATGTAAGGTTGTCATTTGTAGTGAAGTAAATACAGTCTAGATCATTGTCTTTAGCGTTGAGAATGTTCTTATCCCACCAGAGACACACAACGGGTACACAGATGAGGTGAGTGTGAGGTATGCAATGGGCCCTGGTGTTGGGGGCCCACTTCCCTCCTTCCTCCTACTATTTTCTCACATAAACAACTGTTGAGTGGCGCCCTCTGTGTGCTGCTCCTTCAAGGTCACCAAGTTTTTCTGTTTTTTCCAAGTTTACGGTCACTTATTATTTGTTTATGAGGGTAAACTTTTCTGTTTGGGTTTTACGTGAATACTGTGGGTGTGTGTGTGTGTGTGTGGGTGTGGGTGTGGGTGTGGGTGTGTGTGTGTGTGTGTGTGTGTGACCTGAAAACGAAAAGAGAATTCATTTATCTCTTTCCTCTCTCGTACAATTTATTTTTCTTTTCATGGCATTTTCATCATTTGTTTTGCTATTTTCTGTCTCTCTAGGGATGGTACACTCACCCACTGAAGCCCTGTCACCTCTCATCCTGAACCACCAACCCCGAAATTCAGATTCGTCAACCCGAAGCAGTAGACTGATACATTATTCTGTCCATAAATGCTTCGGATTCATTAGTCTGGTGAGGTTCGGTGGTTCAGAGGGAGAGACGAATGGACTTTTGTGGGTAACTGTACAAAACGCATCTGGCTACACCACTCCCTTCTACAGTTACTCATCTTTCTCTCTTCCTCACTTGCTCTAAAAACCCTCACCTGGTCTAAAATCCCTCACTTGGTCTGAAAACCCTCACCTTGTCTAAACTCCTCACCTGATCTAAAGCCCTTCACCTGGTCTAAAACCCCTCACCTGGTCTAAAACCCCTCACCTGGTCAAAACCACACCTGGTCTAAAACCCCTCACCTGGTCTAAAATCCCTCACTTGGTCTGAAAACCCTCACCTTGTCTAAACCCCTCACCTGATCTAAAACCCCTCACCTGGTCTAAAACCCCTCACCTGGTCAAACCCACACCTGGTCTAAAACCCCTCACCTGGTCTAAAAAAAAATCCTTGCCTAATTGTTTATTTTTTCTACCTTCTACAGGGGGGTGTTGGCGGCGGCGCGGAGACTCAACCTGACGTCCTACTTCCACTGGGTCGCGTCTGACGGCTGGGGGAAGCAGAGTCACCTGGTAGAGGGGCTTCAGGACGTGGCTGAAGGAGCTATCACCGTCGAGCTCACTAGTCAGGTAAAGTCTTGTTAAAACTCTCTCACTCTTGCCTCTCACTCTTCTGATTTCTCCGATATTTCTTCCTTTTCTTCTCCTTCCTTCTCTTCCTCTTGTGCTTCCTCCTCCTCCTCATCCTCCTCCTCCTATATGTGTTTTCTCCGCATCCTTTTCCATTTCTGATTCCTCTTCCTTCTCCTCCTTTTGCTGCTCCTCTTCTGTTTTTTCCTCCTCTTTTTTCTTGTTTCTCCCCCTCATCTTCTTTCTGCTCCTCCTCCTCTTTCTCTTCCTCTTCTTCAGCTTCTTCCTCCTCCTGTTATGCCCTTTCAATAAACCGTTAATTATTATTATTATTATTATTATTATTATTATTATTATTATTAATATTATTATCATTATTATTATTATTATTATTATTATTATTATTATTATTATTATTATTATTACACACACACACACACACACACACACACACACCAAAACTGTAGTCATGCACATCAATACCGCCACCACTCCAGTGCAAGCCCCATCAGTCACAGTGGGTGCCCATCCTCTCCAGCTGGTGCAGTCTGCCAAACTCCTGGGTGTAACTATAGACAACAAACTTGACTGGAAGGCCCATGTAAATAACACAGTCAAGGCAGCCTCGTACCGTCTCTACATGCTACGACGACTTAGGTCACTTGGGACCATCTACAACGCCTTTATTTTCCCCAAACTAACGTATGCGTCACCAGCCTGGTCGTCTTCTCTCAACTCCACCCAACAACGTCAGCTAGAGAAGGTACAGAAAAGGGCCTGCAGAATCATGCTCGGCGCAGAATACTCCGGCTACACCAACGCTCTCACCACCCTGGAAATGCCATCCCCCAGTGACCTCCACCACCAAGCACTGGAAAGGTTTGGCAGCCAACTAATGCACCTTGTCATCGCCACCTCCTGCCACCGGCAGTCCCCCACCCACCTCGCGCAGTCCGCCACTACAACAAAATTCAGCCCATAAGAGCCCGCACCGATAAATATAAGAACAGCACCATCCCATCTATTGTTAAAATAATAAACAACTCCTGATTTATGTACTGTACAGCCCTGTAAATGTATTCAACGCATATTATATCATTATGTTTAAATCAAATGTAAGCCTGTATATTTTCAGCCACCGGCTGCAACTCTATTAATAAACCGTTTATTATTATTATTACATATATAAATATTACACACACACACACACACACACACACACACACACACACACACACACACACACACACAGGAAACTTTGTATAAAGAAAGAATGTGACTCTGTAGCCCATCATCATTCTATCAACACCAGTAGCCTCAGTCTGCTCTTCTATCTACATGATGATGTAATAACGTAGTGATGACGTAATAACGTAGTGATGATGTAATAATGCAGTGATGATGTAATAATGTAGTGATGATGTATTAATGTAGTGATGATGTAATAATGTAGTGATGATGTAATAACGAAGTGATGACGTAATAATGTAGTGATGATGTAATAACGTAGTGATGACGTAATAACGTAGTGATGATGTAATAATGCAGTGATGATGTAATAATGTAGTGATGATGTAATAACATAGTGATGACGTAATAATGCAGTGATGATGAAAGAGTGATGACTAAACGTAGAATTAATAAGCAGTGATGATGTAATAACGATACGAATAATGATGATGTAATAACGAGTGATGACGAAAATGCAGTGATGATGTAAAACGAGTGATGAAGAAACGAGTGATGATGTAATAATGCAGTGATATGAATAATGTAGTGATGATGTAATGATGAGTAAAACGTGACGGCGCTGATGTATAAGTATGAGACGAAAACGTAGTGATGATGTAATAATGCAGTGATGATGTAATAACGTAGTGATGACGTAATAATGTAGTGATGATGTAATAACGTAGTGATGACGTAATAACGTAGTGATGATGTAATAATGTAGTGATGATGTAATAATGGATAAAAAACGTTCAAGCCTTCTGGTGAGATTCATCAGAGTAATTTCCTGAACTTACCTGTTTGATGCTTATACTTATAAACTGAATTCCCTCTTTAAGTCAAGATAATTACTGAAGTAATACCTGGTTTATAAACAACTTTACCTGTACCGAACACCTGGTGCTAATAGCATGTGAAACGTCTGCAGCTTAACATAATATTTATAACAAACAAACAAACAAACTGTCAGGTTACCCTCAACAACGAGTTCTGAGGTTAATTATGAAGGTACCTCATCACCCCTCTTAAAGGTTTACCTGTCTTGTCATTTATTATTATTATTATTATTATTATTATAAAAAAAAATTATTATTGTTATTATTATTATTATTATTATTATTATTATTATTATTATTATTATTATTATTGTTATTATTATTATTATTATTATTATTATTATTATTATTATTATTATTATTATATTGTTATTAATTATTATTATTATTATTATTATTATTATTATTATTATTATTATTATTATTATTATTATTATTGTTAATACAACAGGATCACAAAGACTACCTAAACAATTAACAAAAGTCACTTATATTCACAACTCTCTTCACTCTCATTCTGTTAAGTAGATGGTAAAGTGTCCCATAATTTCTACTGCAACACACAATGGTTCTGTTATAATTCAGTAGCCTTTAATAACTTATGGATTAATTACAACTACGTATTGAACCAGGTAATTAATGTTACCTGGAGGTCAATTTTCTTTTATAAATGTCACCGTCAAGTTTGTCAAAAGGTGAGATGAATTATTGAGTAACTTATTGTTGCCGTGAATACCGAGGCTTGAGACCATTGGCTGCAACATATTAGAAAAAGTAAGATGTGTCTATTGTATGTGTGTGTGTGTGTGTGTGTGTGTGTGTGTGTGTGTGTGCAGTACACAGCTGATCAGAGTTCTATAAATGTTATCTGCATATAAAAAATGTTTGTTTCATTTTATATACCGTACAGTTATATACTGAAT